ATATATATATATATATATATTAGTTAAATGCAAAAATATACAGGTACCACTTATCTCTGAAATTATAAAGTTCCATAATCAGGGCATCACCAAAAAATCTCATTCATCCAAAACTTTAGACATTGGATCTCTTTGCCCCAAATTTACCACCTTAGATAGTTATTTCCATTCAATTAATATGCTAAATAGAAATTTTGAAACTCCCGTTAAATTTAAATTTCGTTCCTCAATCCCAAGTAACCTAGCACAAAAGGGAATATGTGCAATATTTTTGTTGTCCATATAAAGAAAAACCCTAGCAACATTGTGCTCGTAGAGCAAAATAGCAATGGATATTAGAACGACTTTTATTTCAAAAATTAAGCAAAAAAAATAAAAAGGAGAGAATACCTTGGAAAATCTTACTTAGAATTGGAGAACTGTTGAGTATGTTTATCAATAAAAAACTAAAATAGAATTAACTATAAAATAATTACAATAGCTGGGCAGACCATAAGGTTTCATTATATAGCCAGGCAGCTCCCATGGATTGATGACATGGTGGCAATGGCATCACAAATCTGCAAGTTGTGGGCCCAAGTGAGCGAAGTCCATGCAAGAGTCTTAGAGCAGTTTCTTAGAGGCAATTAGACAGCAAGCCAGGCCAAATTTTGCTTAAAACAAGAAACTATCATCTTTATTGGGAGGAAAAATCAAGTGGTAGTAGTGAAAACCTCCTCAAAAGATTATGTGTGAATATCATAATCAAAATAAACAAAAATATAGAAGAGAATTTAGGGAAATTCATAATCAATCTTAAAAACCTATAATATCAGAAATTTTACCAACAGGTTCCAACTTCTAAGCATAGCTAAAATCATATGCAACTCCGGTAAAATATATACTGATGTCAAAGTAGCAGAAACAATGATTTTCAGAAGGCAGTTTCCCAATTTCAGTCTTGATAACAAACAAAAATAGTAAAGTAAATTCCCGAAACTTACCACAATGAAAGAAGTATCCACACCATCACCTTCAAGTTCCGTCAGAATATTTTTCCCTTGAAAATCATTAGCTATCTAATAAAAAAATCAATCAAATAATAAGGCGTTGTAAATTTGAGATTCATAACTTTAGAAAATAGAGCTTTTGAAGCAGAACAAAGTTATTTTGAAAATCCTATAAGCATTATTCACAACGCCAAATCTGTGATGCAAAAGATGAATGACTAACTTTTGAGTTGAACTTATTGAACCTCGCTGAGCAAAATAGAACAGTTCAATTCCTCAAACATCTCATGAAAAAATTATTTCGTACAAAAGTCAACTCAAAGCCACTCATTAGCAAAGCCACTTCATAAGTTAAAATGTGAAGGCTCTGAGACCAGTGTAAGGCTTATCCATCTAAACTATAGCTTATCATATAGCTCCAATTTCCCACATCACAGCTCCAATAATTGTATCCAGTTGAACTTGTTATCTTCAATAACAAATTTATCCCAAAATCTAATTTTAGCTTCAACCATAAATTCTCCAAAAATGTAAAAAAGTATATCAAAATTCCTTCTAAAATTTATATCCCAATTTTCGCAATTCTGAAAATACATTGAAACTATTTATTAAAAAATTCTACACTTTGTTGCGTCATTTTAATACATCAAAGTGTATAGATAAATATTAGTATATTAACAACGTACAAATTAATTTCTAGTTAAATTATTTAACATAAAAGATTAATTAAACGTATTATTCATGGGAATTAGCCCTGTAGCTGTATTCCTAATTCACTAAGCTATGCATGCAGCAGTGATTTGTAAATGAACCGAGCTTGAGCGAGCCCGAGGCTCATTCATGTTCGACCCATTTAAATTATGTTTTGTCCATGTTCGACTAGTGTTTGAAATAACTCGTGAGTTATTTATTTGTTGTCGGCTCGATGCAAACACATTTGACCGAATTAAGCTCGTGTTCGGCTCGAATTTCAGCTTGAACTAAAATTTCAAAAATTAACTTTTTATTTTAAATATTTTCAATTGAACTGAAAATAGAATATATTTCTACTTAAAAAAAAATCACAAAAAGGTGCTTAAATGAAGCTAAAAATTTAGAATTCTCTCACTTTCTTTTTTACTTTTATACAAGACTAATGATAAAGCTTCTCGCAATCTCGCAATACGGGACAAAAGTCGCAAACTTAAATGGAGAGAAAGGATGGGAAGAGCCATGCGAGTAGACTTTTATGGGCATTTATGTACATGCCACAAAATTCTTTTGTATTTACGTTGTTAACCTCCATGCTAGCAGCCAAGCGTGGAATTTTTGGGAGAAAATGGGGCGTTTATATACATACCACCCAATTCTTATGTATTTACATATCTAACACCTAAATTTTATTTTTTTTAAATTTGAGAGATATTTACATACATACCAACCCAATTCTTATGTATTTACATATCTAACATCTTAGTTTTTTTTTTACATTTATATAAACAAAATTTTTATATCATCATATTAACTTTTATATATTATTTATTTATTATTTAACTAATTCAAGTAAAAGTGAACCGAACATGATTGAACAAAAGTCTATTTGTGTTTGACTCGTTTATAAATCAAGCTCAAAAAATTTATTCGTGTTCGGCTCGTTTACTAATTGAACAAATAGAACGCGAGCAACTTAGCAAGCCAAACACAAATTGTTCGCGAACAACAAGCTTTTTGACACCCCTAGTAGTGAATCTTTTATATGGATGGCTAACATGATTTTCATATTTAGAAGGATATCACACTAAGTTCTATAATGATTACTTATATAATTAATAATCTAATGTAATATAAAACTATGCCATTCCCTCATTTCCTCTAAATAGTAGTAACAAGCCAAAATAGAGAGCTGAGCTCGGGCTGGCCCATAGCTCAAGCAAGAAAAAAAAAACAAGAAGAAAAGAGGATGAGAAGGAATAGGAAAGCAAGGATTTTAGGCAAGAAATCTAGTTTATTGTAATTTTTTGAAATAAAATTATTACTTTAAAATTATTTGAAATACATTGTTGTTAAGAATTGGTATAAAATAGAGATAACTTATTAATGAATGAGACTTCAGGGAGAAAAAGATAAGAAACTACATGACCACAAAATTGAGGAGAGAAAATCAATTTCTAAAATAGGAGGCAAATTATCTCCAGGCCTAATGTTTGTTCGTTCCTAAAACTCCATTGATCTGCTATGTGCATGAAAGTGAATAATTGTTCATATTAGGCATGCTAACAAGATTTGATGTTATGACTAAAGCTACTATATTTTAGATGCTTACATGTTCAAAAAAACTTCATAATAATTCTATATAATTTAGCTTTAAAAATTATTTAGAAATATACAATGCACTTTTAAGCCCAGACGTGAACTTTCGAGTTCAAATTTTACTTTCCTTGCATGTCAGGGCACACTGATTGATAACAGATGTATATCAATGCTAAAAAATTTGAAGTGCTTGAAGAAAAAAAAATTAAAAAAGAATAAGTTGGTGTATAATAAGTTGACAATCAATCTGTTCAAAGATGAGTAATTGAATCGAGAGGCTAGTAATAATCGCCATGTTGAATTCATTCTAAACATTACCAGTAGCTATCACAGTTGACAACTAGATGATGACCAAAAGATATGAATGTATTGTCCTATATATATATATATATATATATATAATATCATGTTTTTAAGACCATGAACTGAAAAAAAAAATGAAAATAAATCAAATAATTTCATACAGCAATTAAGTATTATAGTGCATTAAATAATTTGGAATTTAAATTGTGCATTTTATTTCCTAACACGGTAAAACTACTAATGATGTCAGGTGACCCAATTTTGTCAGCATTCTAGAGCCTTGATGTACAATTATAGAAATATTTTACAAAAGAGATTATATAATAAATTCAAAGACTACCTCTGATACATAAAAAGTTTTTTAAGAAATTTATTAGACTCTCTATTATCCATTTTAATGATTTCATTTATGCACAATTCAACATTAATGAGTATAATAGATCTATTATAAGATTTTGAAATATAATACATATTTTGTAACAATTCAGGCAGACTAATTTTTTACTCAATCTTAATTCATAAAATTAGAATGGGTGTTAGTAAAAATTTCTTGACTGGATTGTCCGCTTCTATCACTCCTCATACATGATTGAGAGGGGGTCAAAATAGCACGCAGCATAAATAAAGAGATAAGCTTGATCTTGATAATTAGCTCATTAAGTTCTTTAATTGTAAATATGAATGGAGGGGATAGAGTGTTAAGCTTTTGAAAGGAAGACAACTTTTTGTATGTCATTGATCTTGTATCGAAACTTTTATATTTTAATTTGTGGATGGATTTGAGGATGAATGGGGCCTATAATCTTTGTTGCATCACGGAGTCCATAGAAATTAGTATTCAACATATTTCATCATGTTATGTCAATTACTATGTTTTAATTGATATCAATAAGCAAATACAAAGCTTTTAAATAAAATATATCAGAAAAAGAGCTCCAACTAAGAATTTTCATGGGTTGATTTTAACTTATGTTCAATTGTGCTTTAGGTGCATATGTAATGAAGTTTAATGATTTGCATGGTCAAGTACTCAGGCAAACATATTACTTTTAGTTGAAGTCAAGAGTTTGAGAGATAATAAAAAAGATATCTATGGTAAAGGCTAAACCTTAGAAATCAATCTAGGTTTCAAACCCAAACGAGCTGCACAAGTTAAGGCATTCCCTGTATTGCCACCACCCTCAATCTACACAAAAAACAAAAAAACAAAAAACAAAAAAGTAAATAAATAAAACAAAATAAAATCAAATCAAATTTCAATGTGATGATATTTTGTTTCAAATGAAGATAAATTTACACATAGTTGTAACTTAACAACAAGCATGCTAGAGATATACTTCACAAACTGCAATGATAAAAGAAACGAATTTGAAGTTTAAAAGGAGCACATGCACAAGTGCTAAGAAAAAATGGCAAAGTTACAGCTTCAGTATGAAATAAGATGAAAATAAAACCCTAAAACTAGTCAACTCTAAAATTATTCACGCATTAAGTATATTCATCACATTAACCAATACAGAGGACCATTAATAACCCTTAGATGGAGATCATTAAGCTGTTCATTTTGAACACTAACATTTGATATTTCCGATGGATATTAGAGTGGATTGTGAGCTACTAGTTTTCACTCACAGACATTTATCTCAGCAGTAGTAATTATATATTGTTTTGAAGTAAATGTAATGATTGTTTGGAAATCCTGTGAGAATTTCTGAAAGACAACGAAGTTTGGAGTCAGCGCACCAAAAGTCCAGAAAACATTTCTGAAAGCCTTCTAGGCCCGAGCAGCTATCAATAAACACCACAATTCAGAAATCTGTCAAGCTGTTGTCAAATGCTAAGCCAGTCCAGCAGTGCCACAAATTCCATTCAGGGAGACGCAGCCGCATGCTAAAAACGAGATGATGATTTTCTATATTCCTATGCCCACTTATTTTAATGAAAATGGGAATGCTTTCATATATTTAATTCTCTTGATTTGTACATTTAAAAAACTTCCATGTTATTATTTTCATCTTTCAGATTATTTTTCATAGGACCTATCAGGAACTTTTTTGTTTTTATTGTTTTCAATTCTATGGCGGCTAATTGGATTGTGGGTGCCTCCTATAAAATCTCTACCTTTTCTATCTTCACTTTGAAAAAAGCAAGTAATTTTTCTTCTCTTTTTTTTCAACAATGCATCACAGAAATTCTTCTCCAATTTCTAATGCCTCTCATTTGTCTTCCGCCGGTTTAGCCATAGCATTGCCTCTAACAGAAACTACTCCTCTAAGGCCACCTCTAACTAATAACTCATGGAAAAAATGGAGATCAAGAGAGCTTCTCCAACCTACCAGCTATTTGGCATAAATTGAACAGGTAAAACTACCTCCAATGGGCCAGCTGGGCTAAGATATTCATCAGTGAAGAGGAAAAAAAGAATTTATCTCAATTTTATATCATTCCTCTCTAGTGATGCCATTCCTCCAAGACCCAAAATTCAGCATATGAAGAGTTCAAAACATTCTGGTAATGTAATGACTTATCAATACCATGTAAAGCGAAATTGAAAATTTTCAAATTATATGGAACAGCAAAAAATGCGGAATGCCGCAAACTTAATCAGAAAATGAAAATATTATATAAATATTTGAAATTAAAAATGCCCTCTATGACCTTTGACAAGGGGATCCCCTCGTCACCCAAGTATATGTTAACATGAAACAAGTTTGGTGACAGCTTCATATATTTCAAGGACTACATTGGAAGTGTCAAGGGAATGAAACCAAGTAACAAAAATAAGAGATAGGGTAACTAAGTTGCTTGACTCACTAAATAAGAACCTTGATGAAGACTTATAATATTTAAATAAACACCCTTCATTCTATTCAAGCAATCTCCCCTAAAGTTTGTAGAGAAGAAAATCATAAGAAGATCAAGATTGGAAGTCGAGGAACATCAAACCACCCATAGGGCTAAAACCGTGTTTCATAAGGTAGTAATATTCTTAACGATAATTGATGCGTGCTAAAAGATATGCGGTGATATAGTAATAGATTATCGTCTTAGCGTTGCATGAGAATTCATCACACACTCATATGAAAGAAAAAAAAACTTTTACGTGGAAAACCCGAAGATGTAAAAACCACAAGTTCTGACCCAACTAAAGAGATTCACTATAAACTAGATATTACAAGTACAATCACTTGTCCCAAATGCGGGAAAGGGTTACACAATCTTCTGATCTACAAAGTCGGAGCGCGGATGAACTTATTATAAGAAGAGAAACGGTCAATAGTGATCAGCGATAGCCGGCGAGTGGTAGTCGGTGATGGACAGTGACTGGCGATAGCTTCATATCTTTCAAGGACTACATTGGAAGTGTCAAGGGAATGAAACCAAGTAACAAAAAATAAGAGATATGAGGTACCAAGTTGCTTGACTGACTAAATAAGAACCTTGATGAAGACTTATAATATTTAAATAAAGACCCTGAAGTTTATAGAGAAGAAAATCATAAGAAGATCAAGATCGGAAGTCGAGGAACATCAAACCACCCATAGGGCTCAAATTGTGCTTCATAAGGTAGGAATATTCTTAATGATAACTGACACATTTTAAAAGATATGCAGCGGTAGAGTAATAGATTATCATCTTAGTGTTACCCGAGAATTCATCACACACTCAGGTGAAAGAAAACAATCAGTGGAAACACCATAAGTTTTTACGTGAAAAACCCAAAGATGAAAAAAATCACGGGGTCTGGCCCAACTGATGAGATTCACTATAAACTATAGATTACAAGTACAGTCTCTTCTCTCACATGTGGAAAGAGTTACACAATCTTCTGATCTACAAAGTCGGAGTGTGGATGAACTTATTGTAAGAAGAGAGAGGTCGTCGATAGTGATATGCAATAACCGGCGAGTGGTGGTCGGTGACGAGCAATGACTGGTGGTCGGAGACGACCGATGGTGAAGTGATGTTGGACTTCAGCTCATTTTAAAGTTTTTGTCTTTTTCAGGCTTCACCCCCGCCCCCACCCCTGACAATATTTTGAGCAAATAGGCTGAATCTTTTTCCTTTGCTTTCATTCCAATAAATAGTAGTTTGTACAATCTATTTTAGGTACATAATATTCAGTATAATCTAATTTAAGTAACTTAATTAATACATATTCATAATCTAAATATTCAGCTAAAAAGGAGAGAATCCGTGCAAATATAATATTTCCTTCTTTGCATTATTGCGAAGAAGGAAACTCTTTATTATGATTTCTTTTATTCCTGATTGATAACCCCCTTCAAATTGATGCTGGCTGATCAAGAAGCATCAATTTGCTGACAAGAAGCTGATGACGTTGTCGAGATAGAGCTTTAGTAAATATATCAGTCGTTTGAAGATCAGTAGTGATATGAGGAAGAGATATAACACCCTCTTCATAGGCTTCTCGAATGGAATGACAGTCCACTTCAATGTGTTTCTTACGTTCATGAAAAGATT